TTATAATGTAGTCTCTAAAGGATATATTTAGGATTTCTTCCATTCTACCTTTTAAAATAAAAGTTCTTCATACCCCAGATTGTGATAAATTTTTATAAAGGTATTTTTTAAAAGGTATATTCCTTGACTACTATTCAATAATCTTGAAAGGTCTATGTGACATTGTCTTTCTAATGCAATCCAGTAGGCTTAGTGATTACCTGAAGAATGGCCCCGTGAAGCTGTTTGTGTGTAGGGAGATGAGACTCCTGACTGTTAGAGAGACTTATGGGAAACAAGCATAGAGAGAATGTCCCGGTGGCCCTAAAGGCCTCCCATTCAAACCTATGCCTTTGCTCTTCTCCCCTATCTCCTCTTTTCTCCCAGAATTTTCTCCAGTAATCAGGAATCATGTCTCCCTATGAGTAAATAATGTTGCAGGGTTGCCCTTCATCGGAAGACCAAGCCCATGTTTGGGGTTATGGTGAGGTTAATGCTACATCAACATTTTGTTCAGAGGCATAATACTTTTTAACCTTTTGTTGTTAGATCAGACATAGGGATGTTGAATGAAACCATACTTGTCTTACTGCCTAGGTCTTTTTGCAATTTAATTTGCTTTTTAAAAGAAAGAACTTTAAAAATGAGAATGCTGTGCTAATTGAGTATATCTGTATTTAATATTGATAGTTTTATTATTTACGTCAACTTTTGGCAGAATGTACCTTCCCTGTTTGTCTCTCTTGATAGCAGCTTCTTTTGCTGTTGCTTTATCCTGAAATTATGATTGTCATTTCTATTTTTGAATTCAGTAGAAGCACAACAAATTAGCCCCTCATTTCAATTTATGTTGAATCATTGTTTGGTTTTTCTTTTACGCAATCAACTGTCAGATTTTATTTTCTAATCCATTCTATAACACTCTTTTGAGTTCAGTCAATATTTCATAATTTTTTGCCACCATCTAGTCCTATTTATATACATATATAAACACACACATACTTATATGTATATACAAATCTATACATAAATAAAGCACTGCACATCTGCTGTTAGTTTTCCTTGAAACAATTCAATTTCAATCTCTCCAAATCTCTTCTTGAAGACAGCAGCCTTCAAGGTAGGGCATATAATTCTCTAACCCTTTTCATTTCTTCATCCTGAAATGTACTTTCCAAAATATTTTTCTTTATTCTCTCCAGAGCCCATTAAATTAAGTCGTTCTTTATAGTATTTCTCTATTTTTCATCTTTTACAATAGATATTAGCCTATAAGCTGCAAATACCTGGTGGTGGTATTTTCTTACATTATTAAGTCTTGTTACCTTTGGCATAAGTACCTTTTTTGATTTCGTATGTACCTCTTTCAAATCCCTTATTTGGCCCGCCCCGTAAGCTATCTTTAACTACAAATTCTTTGTCTTCTATGTTGATTCAATTATCCTAGGGTTTATATAAGTGATGGTGGACATTGGACAAAGAATACACATTTAGATTGTGTTCATACTTTCTTTTTGAAAGCATGTAGTTTAGAATATTACAAAGAAAAAATTTATAAAGAAAGTGGAACAGAACAAGCCAACATCAGTTTCAGATATATGATGCAAAACCTTAGTATCTTATAGTTTCAACTGCAAAGCCCACTCCTACCCCCAGGGCCATTCCTGGCCTCCTGCTCCCTATGATGTTACAGTTGGAGAAGGTATTCCTGTTACTCCTCATGTCTCCACAGCATATCTACTCACTACCCCCACTCTACAGGCCAACCTGTAGAGCATTTCAATCTTTTGACTTTTCTCTGGTGTGTGACTGTGTGGGTAGGGGTGAGAGGTGATGGTGGAAGGTTACCCAAACTTTATTTCTATCCTGTTTTCATAGGTTACAAATAGAAAAGTGGAAGATAGGAAGTAAAGTTCCTAGGATTAGAGCTCTCTGCCTGAACTTCAGGCCTCATCACTTGGCTGCTCATCACCATCATGAACAAAACCAGCTGACCAGTACTCTGGACTTTGCCTTTAGTTGTCCCTTGGGAATACTGTGTTTCTTGCTTTGTCTGATGTAAACAAGACTGACCTGGTTGTGAGCAGTCTGTTTTGTCCCCTTAGTAAAATGCTTTGGTTTGCTTAATATTTCAATCCTGACTCTTGGCACCAACCAGCATAATTTCACAATAGCTGCAACCTTACGTACTAATGCCACCTTTTGCCATCCTAGCTATATTAACCTTCTATTATTTCATCTCAGTAAAGAGTCCACAAGGTTCTGCCTGAAGCAAACATATTTGACGAAAAATTCAAATAGGAACACAGGCAAAGACTCTAAGGAAGCTTGTTGAGAGATTAGTTTGTTGGTGAATTTATAAGTCTGGTAATTTCCAGACTAGATTGTTGCCATCTGCTCTTTGGTGGCCTATTTCAATCCTCCAGAGTGTCCACCACCTTTCTATAATATATTCTATATGTTGCTCCCTAGGGTATATAGTATTAGAGTTGCAATCATGTTATTCCTATTTTAAGAAACTCTATGCAGTGGTGATTGTTTTCCTGAGGCCTGTTAACCTTACAGAAAAAAATCAATGGCTATAAGAGTAAATAAAAAAACAACTTAGTTGAATTTTTTGAGAGAAATATAAAATATTTTAATACATTCCCTTTAAAAATTATGGGGAACACAAAACCCAATTTTGTAAACTCAGAAATAAGCAAAGAGAAATAAACTCACATAGAAATGCACACACAGAGGTTTGCCTACTACAATGCATGACACATAGAAGGTGCTTAATAAGAAGCTACTTGACAAGTGGTGGTACATATTAGATCTTCATATATTCTTAATCCTTCTCCCACTGTTTATGCCAGTTGTGACCACTGGATTCAGCTGATTCTTCCATTCTTAACTCCAGACCTTCATATATATTATCCTCTACCCTTTAAAACTATTTAGCTTATGTTTTTAAATCAATATTTAAAAGTTTTAACAATATTATTTCCTGATGTCACTCTTTCAAGTAAGTATAAAAAAAGCAAAACAAATCAACACATCACTCATGTCCATGTCTAAGTAGGTATGCCTCATTTTGAACCTATAGTATATGAACTCTCCACCAAGGGGGAGATATGCTCACCAACAGTTAGTTCATTGATGTCTTGATTAGTGAATGTATTTGGGCTTACTGAATTTTCAAAGGAACATTTATCAAATGTCAACTATATGTCAATTGTTGTGCACACAAATAAAAAGGTGAGGCATTCCCTGCCTGTAAACAGCTTACATCCTAACAGAAGACAACACATATAGGAGAGGTGTCACTGAGTTGCTTTTACCTAGGAAGTCATAGTTCTGGTGAAGAACAGCAGGATAATGAAAGTGTTAATCTGATTATAGTTCTCGGAGCAGGATGTGGGAGGATGTGGAAAAGGAGAGATGGGAGAGGGAGACCTATGTAGTAGTGAGGCAGAAAATTGCGGAGGTTAGGAAACAGTCTCAGGGGAATTCAGAGCAAAGGCAACAAGGTAAGAGTGCTGGGCCTGGAGTCAGGAAGACCCACGTTCAAATCTTGCCTTGGACACTTAACTAGCTGTGTCTCCCAGGGCAAGTCACTTCACCTTTGTCTGTTTCCTCATCTGTGAAGTGGGGAAAATAATGGCACCTACCTCCCAGGGTTATTGTGAGAGGATCAAAAGCGCTTAGCAGTGTCTGACGTATTGCAGGAACTTAATAAATGCTTGCCCCCTTTTCTCCTCAAGAGTTGATTATGGAGTTTTGATGTCTTTCAATTCTATTTTTCTTCAACTTATCCTCCTGCTTTTACTCCCTTTACTCTGCTTCAGGTCGTACAAGTCTTCTCAAGTTTCCCTGAATTCTTCAATACTTATAAATTCGTATAAAGCTTTTTTTTTTGTGTAACATTATTCCATTCCATTTATTTAATAAAATTGGTTTAACCATTTGAGAATGGTTGGGCACTACAGTAGTTTTATTTTCAGTTCTTTGCTACCACAAAAAGTAATGAGGTAAGTACTTTTATGTATGTAGGACATTTTTCTGTTCTTGTCTTCTTAGATCAAAGGGTATATACAGTTCAGCGACTTTTCTAATCTAATTCCTTTTCATAAAGATACCTCTTAACATTCCAATTGAACCCAAATCGGTTCCCTAACGTTGATTTTGTTGCTCAAGTTCCACTAAAGTCCGATTCTGAGGTCTTACTGTGCTGTGGAGGTGATCCTTGGTTTTCATAAATATTCCAGTAAAGTGCAGACTCTGGCAGATCCCATTCAATACAGGTAGCTAAATTAAGGAAGATCACTAAGTTTTGTTGCAGGGAAACTCAGAAAAGTCTATATTACAAATGCTAAATATTTTTCATTAACTTAGCAGAGGGCCTTATTCACTTATTATATTAAGTATTCACTTAATAAATGTTTACCGATTAAAGAAGTTATGCTGAGTCTGGAAACAGGAAGACCTGGGTTCAAATTCAGCCATAGCCATTGACTAGCTGTGTGATCCTGGGCAAGTCATTTTACCTGTTTGCCTCAGTTTCTTCATCGGTAAAATGGGGATAATAAAAGCACCTACTACCCAGGGTGTTGTGAGGATCAAATAAGACAATAATTGTAAAACACTTTGCATAGTGCCTGGCATATATTCAGCGCTATGCAAACATTAGCTATTATTATTACTGCTAATTAGTCGGGCTCTTGCTCCTGCATTCGTCTCATCTTTAAAAATGAATACTGTACTGATAAGCTGTTCTGACACTTCATAATCCCCAGCAGATTCCCAGTTCTAACTTCATAACTTAGGAGGTTCCAGGACTGTTCGGCAAAACCACTAGAGCAGGTGTTTCTACACGAGACTGCAAGGTCATCAAAAGATTTAGACTGTAAGCTACCAGAAGGCAGCAGGCACATCTTTTTTTTTCTTTTTTTGGTGAGGTAACTGGGGTTAAGTGACGTGCCCAGGGTCACATAGCTAGTGTCAAGTGTCTGAGACCAAAATTTGAACTCGGGTCCTCGTCCTCCTTACTCCAAGGCCCGGAGCTCTATCCACTGCTCCACCTAGCTGCTCGGAAGCACATCTTTTTAAAGCTCAACCTGAGCTTCCAGTGCACCACCCGATACCCTGGGAAGAGCAGACGAAGACACAGCAGACCCCTCTGCTCCCCCTCCCCCAAAGTAGCATCTAAGGACAAGGGAGGAAGCTGATCTCCCCTCCTCACCCCAACTCTCCATCACCATTAGCGACGTGCCTGCCGTAAAGCACAGACCCGAAAGCCGCAAAGCGGCTTACTACATTGAGGGTGGGGGTGGGGCTAGGACTGTCTGTCGTCCTTGTTTTTCGGCTTGTGGTGGGGCCTCCAGTTTCTCGGGTGTTCGAACAGCCTCGGTTCTAAGACGGAGTCCCTCCGCTTTCCCTTTGCCGCCAAACCCATCCTGTCATCCAGTTTGTGCCAGCAGGCCCGACCAGAGCGCGCAGCTTTCTTTGCCCCTTGCGCATGCGCATTGAATCGGCTGTGGTTCCCATCTCACTCTCGGAAGCACGTGCTCACGGGAGCCAACCCGGGGACTAGTCCCTGCGGTCCGCCACCATCCCGGAGTGCACCGCGGCGGCGGACGGAGCGCAGTCGGCGGCCATGTTGGGATAGTTTGTTGTTTTCTTCCTGCGGAGGAGAAGGGGCCGGTGTGGACAACGAACCGCCCCGGCCTCTCCTCTCTCCTCCCCCTCCCACCCTGCCCCGGTCCTCGGGTCGTCCCTTCCCCACCTATCACCCTCCCCTCGGCCTGGGATCAGGCCTGTTCTCCCCGCCAGCTGGTTTGGTGGGGGCGAGGCCGAGAGCCGAGCTCGGGAGTCACCATGGCGGCTTCCCTGGGTGCGGGCGGAGGAGCGGGAACCGGAGCCGGAGGTGAGTGAGGTCGCCCCGCTCGGGGCCAGGGGAAGGCCGGGGAGTGGCTGCTGGGACGCCAGAAGGCAGAGGATTGAGAGAGCCGAGGAGTTCGGGGGTCCGAGCGGGCCCTTCGGCGCCTTCCCTCACTCCAGCCTCTCCGGGCCCCCGGAGCCGTCTCCATCCCCTATTGTCGCTCGGAGGGAGGAGAAGCGGCTCCTCCTTATCCCGCCCCTCAGGCCCCCTCCCCCCGGTTCCTGATTTGGCACTGAACTTGTGCATCTGACTTCTAAGTGTCATTACGATTTGGGGGGATGAGTTGCTAGGTCTGTTGCCTAGTGGAGAGCCCCTAACGCCCCCTCCCCCGACCCCGGTTTCTTTAGGCCTGAAATGTCATTTTGAGGAGCGCAATTACTAGTCGCTTGGCAGATTGAGGACTGTGTCAAGCGTCGTTTTAATTGACAGCACTGGGAAACCTTGCACACATAGGATGAAGTTTACTGAAAAAGGACAACCCCCAACTCCACAGTCAGCAACTTGGGTAGTTCTGGAGGAATGTTGAAGCTGTTGTATTAAAGCTTTCGGAAAAGTGAGAATTCTTCAAAATGCAATTCCTTTTTGTATTTTTACTATGTCATATTCTTGAATAGAAACTGATTTTCCCTTTATATTCAGTTACCTGTGCCTTCTTAATGGGGGGTGGGGTGGGAGGGGGGTATTTTGATTGAGATTTTGTCATTTTACCTTTTTTATTAACATAGCAAGATGTTTTCTCATAAAATATAAGTTTTACCTTTAGGTAAAATTAACATTTCAACAGTTTGGCTGAAGTTCACCCCCTCCATTCCACGTGGAAAGTTAATACTTTGAAAAAAATTTTTTTTCGAAAAATTTGAGAAATGGGACGAAGTTTTTGGAGGACGGATTGAAAAAAGATTGCTTAGGAACTCCTGTATTAATTAGCAGTACTCATGTTAATTTACATTGCAGTAAGTAGTCTTGTAGAAATTCTTGGCTCAGTTTAATCCACTATAAAGTTTATATTGCAACATGGAATAATAAAAAAAGGTGAATATAGAAAAATGGTAGCATTTTTGGTTTCTTGACATGCTGATTTTTCCTTTTTTATTTTAAATATAAAATCGCCTGAATCAAGATTTGAGTTGAAGACCTGTAGTAGGTCTTGAAAATAAGTGACTTCTCCTACACCCAAAACTGCCTTTTTTTTTAAAAAGTACATTAGTTTTACAGATGTTTGGGCATTTGTTTTTGTTTTTTTCCTTTCTTTTTTGTGGACTTTTTTAAAGGACTTTTTAAAAAATGTAGTTTTGTCTCTATAGAGTTATCTTGCACTACTGAGTTCTAGATTGTTGGCATATGCTTCTGTTGAAATAGTGGTACATCAGGGAAAAGTCCTACATTTCAGTAAAAGTTTACTACCTTTAACAAGAAGTAACTTAGTGAATTCAAGCATCCAGGACTTTTTTGAGAACTTGAAGTAGGCAGTGTGGTTTAAGGGAAAGCATGCTGATATGGAGACAGAAGAACTGTATTCAAATGTTACCTTTTCTGTTTCTTACCTGTGTGACCTGTATAACCTTCCTCTAAATTTTCTTATCTCTAAAATGAGGACTTAGAGGAGCTGGCCTCCAGTGTCTGTTCCAGTTCTTGACCTATGATCCTATGGTAAAAGGAAACTAAAAAAGGCCATAGTAGTCAAAATAGGTTTCACAAAGCCCATGCACTTTTCTTCATAGGGGTATTTCTTAGGAGTATCCTCATTCAGTATGAATTTCAGCATTCTCTTATGACAATTCTTTTGTAGAAATATATTTATATATTTCATTAAATATTTTCCAATCACGTGTAAAAAATTTTAACAATCATTTTAAAAAATTATGAGTTCCAGATTTTTTCTCTCCCATCCATCCCCACTCCTTGAGAAAGCAAGCAATTTGATATTGGCTATATATGTGAAGTCATGCAAAACATATTTCCATGTTAGCCATGTTGCAAAAGACAACACAGACAAAAAAAGCAAGAAAAAAATTAAACAAGCATGCGTCAATCTGCATTTGAAGTTCAGCAGTTTTCTCTCTGGAGGTGGTTATAGCATACTTCATGGATCCTTTGGAATTGTCTTGGGTCATTGTATTGATCAGCATAGCTAAGTCTTTCACAGTTGATTATCCTTACAATATTGCTGTTACTGTGTAAAATGTTCTCCCTGTTCCACACACTTCACTTTGCATGAGTTCATGTAAGTCTTTATGGATAATTAAAATCACAACTCAAATCAAATTACCACTCAGATCTTTCCTAAGTTTTTTTTTCCCTTTCATTATCCAAAGCCCCAGTCTTTCTTACCCAGTATTCCACTAAAGCCCTACTCTGTTGCCTCCTCAAGGGAGGTGACCATTTTCTAAAGCTATGCTATTACAGTACAAGTATAAAGCAAAAGTGTTTGCTGTTGCTTTAGGCACAGTGTTAACAAACTTATTCCTTGCTTTCTAAGCTCATAGTTGATTGGGAAGATCACATTAGGGACAAATAATCCAAAAGCTCTCCCAGGATATTATAAAATAAAGTCAGAGAAGTTCTTCATCAGGTTGGCTTCTGGGTAATGAATTTTTTGACCGTTGTAATTCCTAAAGATGTGATCTAAGATAGGAAAGGTTGGTTCTCTGGGTTTATGGAGGGAATGCTGACTGAAATGAATTCATGTGTCTTTGATGTAGTAGAGTTAAGAAAAAAAAATCTTGAGTTTCATAGAATGATTATGCAGCTCTCCAAAATCTCATAATTTTGAAATGAACAACTGGATTTCAGTGTACAAAAGAGTATATTTTTCTACTATTGAATGTGTAGTTTGTACCTTGCTTAGTGTTTAATGTTTGTTAAATTGAATAAAAAAAGTAACTAGCCTCTAGGGAGCGCTTCATGAGCACACTGACAATGAAGCTTCCTTAATTATTTTTTGAGTAACTGGGTTAAAAAAGAATGAATGGCATTTAGTAATGTCCATAGTTGTGCATTCTTGAAACCTATGACTGAATTTTGATATTTTATCCACTTTTGAGTTTATTCTTAAATTCTTAAGTATTATGATATACTAAACATAGATATAAGCTAAGAACTGTTTCTACCTATTATTAAGTATTAAAGAATACTTAGGCTTGATAAAGTTGAGTCTTAAAAAATGCAACAGACAGATCACTTGGGAGAATAGGTAGTTTGACTTAGAAAAGTATGAACTGTTCTTAAAAATGAGTAACTGAGTTTTTTTCCCCCATATATTATGAGCTGTATTAGATAAGGTTAAAGAATTTTAACTAAAGATCATTTGACAGAGTATCACTTATAACTGGGGGACCGTCCCTTCATTTTTACAGATGAGATAATTGACTCATACATTTGTCTGCTTTTCTCTTTTCCCACTGTTGTGGGCTAATGCGGTAGCTTCTTTAAAAATAAAATTATCTTGCTTATATTGATGTCTTTATTTTTATTTTGTGTTCTTTTCTGAATTCATCCTTCCCCTTCTTTCCTATCCAGTGAGCTGTCCTTTCTAAGAAAGATTTAAAAAGAAAGGTTTGGAAAAACAATTGGAGGACATGAAGGAGATGTATTTTCTTTTCCCTGTGGGTCAAGCTTAGTTGATATAATTTGCACAATTATCAGATTTGTGGAGGAAAGGGGGGCTTCTTTTTTGTTTGTACAATTTCGTATATTATTTTCTTGGCTCTTCTTTGCATCATGTCATATAAATCTGTGCTTCTGAATTTTTCATATTCCTTGTTTCTTACATATTGTGCAGTAGTATTCCCCATATTCATTTATCCTGATTTGTTTAGCTATTTCCCACTTGATGGGCATCTACTCTGTTTCAGCTCCTTGTCACCACAAAAAGTGTTCATATGTTGGTATATGTGGGGCCTTTATTTCTGTCTTTGAGTTCCTGGGGGTAGATGCCCAACAGTGAGATCCCAAGGATAAAGAGTATGGTTATTTTAGTCACTTTCTTAGGTTTCATTTGGAATTCTAGAATGGTTAAGACCAACCCACAGCTCCTCCAGCATTGTTTTAGTGTCTGTCTTTCTACATTTTCTTCAATGTTGACTGTTCTCAACTTTTGTTATCTTCATTTTATTTGGAAAGGGAAAATCTGAGGGTTGCTTAGATTTACATGTTTCTTATTAGTGATTTGAGCTAGCAATTTCATATTTGTGAAGTTTGTAATTCTTATTTTGTAAACTGTTGGTCATACCCTTTGCCACTTATCCATTGGTGAATGGCTTTTGGTTTTATATATTTGAATTCTATAGCTTGGTTTTCAAACTCTTATCAGATATATTTAATGCAAAGATTTTAGTTCCACTTGACAGCTTCTCTTTTTCTGGTTGCACTGATTTTGTTAGTGTAAAATCTTTTTTGCACTAACTGCAGCTTCACTCTTATAGGGAGGTGGCGCAGTGGAGAGAGCACAGGGCCTGGAGTCAGGGAGACTTATCTTCCCAAGTTCAAATTTGGCCACAGATACTTCCTAGCTGTGTGACCCTGAGCAAGTTACTTACCCCTGTTTGCCTCAGTTTCCTCCTATAGAATGAGCTGGAGAAGGAAATGGCAAACCACTCCAGTATCTCTGCCAAGAAAACCCCAAATGGAGTCATAAAGAGTAGGACGCAACTGAAAACAACTGATCAACAAAAAAATCTTTTCAATTTCATGCAGTCAAAATGGTCTGTTTTATCTTTTGTAAATTGCCTCTGTTTCCTATTTGGTTAAGAACTTTCCTCTTTGCCAAAGCTGTGAGAAGAAGTTCATTATCTGATTTAATTTTTAAAATAATGTCAGTCTTTTATATTTAAGTTGCTTATCCATTTTGAGCTTATTGTAATATGTGGTGTGAGGTGTTGATCCAAACCTAATTTCTGACAAACCATTTCAAATTTTCCCAGTAGTTTTTGTCAAAAGGGGAGTTTTTCAAAAAGTAGCTTATTTTTGAAGGCTTTCCAAACACT